TTTCCTGGCTCTGCACAGTGCATACAGGGGGTAAATAATCCATACCATCCATAACGGTGAAACAGAAAGCCCCATGGGTGCACAGGCCCCGCTCTTGGACCCGTGTGAAGGACAGTGAGACCCTGACCGTCTCTCCTGCATCCCGCTCTCCAAAGAACCGTGGATTGCAACTGTACCTGGTCCTAGCTCAGCTCTGTGAGGCGAGGGAAGACTTCTTGTTCACCTCGTCCCGATCTGCAAGGAACGACCAACAACCCCGCCTCTACAACGAAACAAAAATACTTGTCCAAACGATTTTTACCTTCCCTCTTCAGCAGGGAATTGTATGTAGCCGTCACACCTAATTTTGTAGAAGTTCTCTTTGGCCACGAAGCTTGGAAGCCTTCTACCCCAGTCATCCACGAGGAAATCCAGCCAGCACTTACAGACACCTCTATGTGATGGGCCAACACAGGAATGGCAGACTGATTCCCCTATGCGTCTCAGGGTATCACTAATTATTACTACAGCTCTTGAAGATCTTATTAACAGCAAACACAACTAAACTGCACTGTCCTCCTGTAGATTAATGTTTAATAATGTTACAACCTGTATCTATTTACCATAAACCCATCTCTCCTGTATGAAAGCTTAGTGGGCCAGCAGTGAATAATTTTATTACTGTGTTATTTTCCCATGATTTCCATTTCAGTCATTGCAATGTGGAATTGGCTCTCATTATTCACATCACCATTGATGATTAGGTTGAGACTAAATAGACACCTTTTTTCTCTTTCAAACTATGGCTTTTCTGAAGGAAACAACTGTTAAAACATGGTAGACTTTTATTTAATTGCTTTCTGAGCAAATCCTAAGCCATACAACGGCATAGAGGTCAAGAAGAGAAAATCTTTGGGGTTTACTGACATTTCAGAACGTTATCATTAGATGAGACCTTGAGACATCTGCATGTTAGTTAATGGCTGTTCTGCCTTCATGTATAATGACCTATTTCTTATAGAAGAGCTAATATCTATAAATTTTTCATTTGCTGCCTAGAGATTTCAATAAAAACTAAGAGATTTGAATTCAGTGTGTGTTTCATATATCAAATTATTACTGGAAAGATTTTTTTAGCTGCTTAAAAATGGTCATATACAGAGAATGTACTGCCTCTGTTTTACCTCTCAAAAAACCCAGGTTCTGCTGGATGAGAGATACTGTTTAGTATATAAAGGCTTCTTAGTTTTGTCATATTTTTATCTCTGCTCATTACTAGACGAATAAGCCCCAAACCTGTAGCATTAAACATTAACAACAATTCCATCTTGTTTGAGCCACTGTTACACCAGGAGATAAGAGTCCATGTGCATGTATTACATATATCATCCCAGCTGTCAGAGGAGGGCTCTCATGACTAAGTGATTTAAGATTATGGATCAGAGGCCACTTGCTTCCCCTTAAGTAATAATAATAAATACGCTAATGCTTTTAGTGTCATTGTTAATTTCTTATTTGTGAACACTCAGAGACAGGCTGAAGTGCTGTGGTCTGAAGACAGGATTCGAAGATGAGCTGTTCCCAAGGAGAACAGGAAAGCCAAAACCGTGGGCTTAAGGCATCGTCACTTCGGTGTGGGAGAACAAGTCCTCTTCCACATACAAGGACAACAGAATGGGGCTTTAAAACAAACTTCGCTTTGGGATAGCTTGCTCTCATGAGCAGCAAGGACTAGATTTTCATTAAACTTCCTCCATGCTAACTTCTGCTTTGCCTTCAGTTCCCACCTCATCCTTACCAGTTTTAGCCAAGATCATCTTTGTGACTACACACTGAGTATGTCATTCAAAAATAGATAGTTATTTGAGCTCTGACACCACCAATCCACACATATTAAGTGGTAGTAATATGTGTAGTGGTAGTAATTCCAATCAAGTTATTAACTTATATTTTAATTTCAAGCATATGAATTTAAAACCGTTAGTTATCAAAGAAACACATGCACATGTGTTTATTTTTACTCCATCGAATTGCTAGGATTGTTCATCACCACAGGAACCTATTGTAACGCTCATATAAGAAATTTCATTCTTTGTTAGTACATTAACCTTCCTGTTCTTTGAATTTGGATTTCAAAACAAAGCCATTTCAACATGCTGAGTGACTGAATGAAATGCATTATAAATTTGTGGCAAATGATGTTGCAAAACACATTCCAGTGTGACAATGCAGTGTGACAATATTTGGAACAGTTTAGGATGTTAGGTTGAAAAACATCCTTGGATGGTGGAAACTGTCTGAGCTGTCTGATGGAAACTGAAAAGTTGAGAAATTCCTCACTAATTATCATACGTCATGAGCACACGTGTTTTGCAAGGTAATAAGAAGCTTACTGAAAAGTTCATAAAAATTAAGGAGAATGGGAAATCACGTGATGCAAAGATATCCAGACAACAGACTGGTCAGAATCTCATTATTGGAGCTTTGAAAACTAGACTGGAAGAAACTCCTAAGGTCACGTCCAGGCTGTCAGACAAAGCAGTGCAGAGATGCAATTCAAGACCTGGAGCATAATCCCCTATTCCACCCTACGCTGGAGCACTGTCTGGATTTAGCAGGTCAGCTGCAGGTGCAGTGTAGTCCCATTAGCCCCACTGTGTCTACGATAATAAATCTGACTTGACTCTGTGCACCTTGGAGGTCCCAACAGTGTGATCCCATCCACTTGCTGCTCTAGGATTAGTACAGATGGATTCAATTTAAATGCAGAGGGTCTTACGACAGGGCTTGAAGGGGTAATGAAGGAACTAATGCAAGAGAAACGATCCACTCTACGTGACTAGTCTCTGGGACTGTACCACTGTTTCTATCATTTCTCAGCTGGGATTTACGACATTTTCTCATTTGTTTTGGTGAAGCACATTGTAACACCTTCCTGAGTGGAGATAAAGGTAGGAAAGCTGCCTGGCTACGACGCAGCTTTCCACCCTTTTGCTAAAAGAAATCCTGACTTTGGCTAAGGTCCTGCAGCTGAAAGCAAACTGCCTGATCCTTACACTCATACAGACCCAGGGATGCTCAGTGCAGGCACTACAGGCCGCTGGTGCTGTTGCTTTTGCAGACTTGCAGGCTGTAAGGGATACAAAACACCAAAATATTCAAACCGGTGCTCAAGTTCTTACGTTTATCTTGTCTCTGTTCTTCTGTAACATGGGCTTTTCTGGGAAGTTCGATTAGATGCAACTACTGATGTCCAGATGCAGAGGGTCCTGAAATCCTTCCACTGTTTTAAATAGGTTTTGGATCCAGCCCTAAGTTTAGGCAAGTCTTTACCAAGGGAAAATTGTTAAAAACCTAAGTCACAGATTTTATAACCATATTAATTATCTAGCTAAGCAGCTGCTACTATCTTACAGACCAGAGAACACTGCTTACCATGAGTCAAAGATCATGGCTCTAACTGCATTTTTATAATCTATAAAACCCAATATGCGGAAACTATGGAAGGAAATTTCAGTAATTAAAGCATAGGTTCTCCTAATTAACTGCAAAGCATCATTAAAATCTAACGAAACATTAGTGAAATAATACAGGACTCTGGATTAACTGCAAGGAGATAAATGCAAATGAAAGTTGAACGGTCACATAGTTTTGAGTTTACACAACAGGACTGAATACATTTACAGTAGTTTACAATATAAAAGCTCACTTTTAACACTGTATGAATTGGGAAGTTAGGATATTAGTGTATAAGAAGTTAACATATTAAAGAATGTGACATACTGAAGCACAAGAATCAAAGAAATCAAAATCCTTGTTACTTAAAATAGTTGTATTTGTGATGGTAAACCGAATTTCACAGCAGATGATTAATAAGATAACTGCTGTTGCATCAGCATGAGGTAAGACTAAATTTTTCAGTGTTACAACTTCATCTTGACACAGCTGAACAAGCTGCACCATTATTCCATATTATGCAATAGATTCAACTGAAGCAAGAACTTCAAAGCTCTGCAACCACTAGACATTTTAAGATAATAATCTGTCATGATGCTGTCCCTCAGACACTTGCCTTTTAAGTTCTTAGGAGGGAAACCTTCACAGAAACTGGAGCTTGAATGCCTACTTTCAGCTGATGTGTATCAGGTCCACAGAAGCATCACCGATCTCCACTGACCAAAAATCTAGACCTAAAACTGTTGTATCTTGGTACATTCAAGGTATTGCAGGTGGAAACCCTTCCATCTGACTTCAGCTCTCTAAAATATCCAAGGCCAGACAGACTCACTGCACATATCATGGAGAAAGAGAGGGTCTGAGGACAATTCACTTGGTCTGTCCTGGCACACAATGAATCACTCTCAGAAGACGACCTTCTCCTTTAATCAGCTTTTGAAGAAACCTAAATGACCAGTCCTTTCTGACATCTAAAGTCCTGGACTGGACTTCTACCCCACATGGCTGCCAGCAGTGCCACATCTCCTGTATCTCCCTACCAAAGGCCTTAAGTTCTAGCCAAGAGATTTTAGCTCAAGGAGATCAATCTCTACTACCATTAAATCCTATCCTAATTATGCTGATGGATATGTCGATGTCCTGGGCACCAGCAAAAGGTCCCAGACAATCCAACTCATTTCATTGCAACTCACAGATGCCAATACTTTTCAGAATAATACTGATGTAGGTTAGACACCAAATTATGTTCTTGGACTAATTTGAAGACCAATTTCCCGTTGATTTCAATAGTTAAGTACATTAAAATTATTCAGTATTTCAGCAAAGTAAGACTAGAAAGCAGAAAACATTTACCATAATGAAAAATAGAGGCATATTTCCAAAGCAGCAAAACAGTCCTTTTTTAAAATATCCAGTTTTTGATCCAAACACAAATATAATAATGGAGTGGCATGCAGTTAAGAATTTGTTAGTAAGTTACATGCTGTTACACAGTCCTGTTTCTAAGAAAGTACACAATGGACACAAACTCTTGCTATCTCAATTGTTACCTCACGTACTCATACCTTCTCTGTATCAATTCCTTTAGACATGGACCAGGTTGAGACAATATAATCCATGACTCTTTCACTAAGGCCTTTTGGGACTTGATATAATTTTAGGAAATCCCTCACATTGTTCAGCATCTCGTGGTATCGGTTGGTGTTGGCATACATTTGCTGGAAAATGGTGGTGACGTTTCCAAAAATAGTTGCATAAAGAAGAGCTGGAAGAAAACAAAGGTAATTAAAAATAAATATGCATGCTCCAGTAAATGTTACCCATAATTTAGGGATAACTTCAAAGAATTTTATGTATGGTTACAAGTTATTGCAAATGCATAGGTGTAAACTGAAAATTTCTACTTATGCGCATACTCTCGTACACATATGTGTACAGAGTTATTTATTGCATTTACCCTTACAGTTCATACAGCCACTCAGTCTGCATTAGTTTACAAAATCAGTCTTACAGATAATGTCCACACATGGAGCTATTTAAAAACAGCTGGTGCATTTTAACTCTATACCTTATACTAATCCAAACTAATTTTCAAATGTAGTTTCAGCCTGCCAGTAAACCTTGAAGACACTATCCAAAGAATCACGTGGACCTCCTGTAAGACTGGCTCAGCTAGCATGTGCTATAAGTAGAGAATTGCCTCAGTCCCAAAGAAAAAATGAGATGGGTAAGAAAGGAACCTGGGAAGCCTGGCAAGAAGATGTCTATACAAATTGGGTCCTGTGTCAATGGCCAAGGTGTGCACAAGAAAGATTGAGAGTGGCATTTCACGGTCCAATTTCACAGCCAGCCCCAGCAGATGACTTGGGTATGTCATGTCAACTCAGTCACTAATGATTCCAAAGAGAGAAAAATTGGATTAGCGAACAATAGAAAGTCCCAAGTTTACCTCATTGCTGAGGACATATCACTAGGGCAGGAGGAAGACATGGGAGAGTAGGAAGCATTAACTCAAACACAATTCTGAGTTACCTTCTCTTCTGGTTCAATTCTCCCCTTTCCAAACATACCACCACTACTGTCAAGCTCAGCCAGTTGAGTTGTGCAACACCAAAGAATGACATGCCATATTCAAGAAAATCACATTTTCGGTAAGCCTTTCCAACACAAAAGGCATCAATCTCAGTATACTATGACAAGTGTGATGCAGTGAACACTATCTGATGGAGAATGGTTAATTTCTGAAGCCTAAATTCAGCAAAGCATTTAAACAAAAAATTTAAATGCACACCTGTGCTAGTGCTGTCTTGAATAGTGGTGGATTGAAAGATGCTCTTAAAGTCAAGCAAGTTTAAGGTACCTTATTGAGTCACAATGTAATTACCCTTGCAAGCAAGCCCAAAATGACATTGTTCCATTAGGCATTACAGATTTTGCAGAAAAGAGAATTATTCTGATATCTCATAACACCAATGTGCGGCACTTACTTATACTCTTGACATTATCAAATACACAGAAATGTGCCTGTCATTTTTAATAATCTTTGCTCGGAGGTACTTTATAGCAGAACGCAGCTATGCATTTCCATATTGCTTTTTTGAAAAACAACTGCAGCCTACAAATGGCAAGAAATAACCCTCTGTGAAAGGCAAAATGCTTTCCATCTCTCTGTGCATAATGTCTTCCCTTTACACGTTTCTACCTCATTCCAGAAAACTCGCTTTGTTTCATACTCATTTACTGTTGTTTATCACCCCTACTTGAAAGGTGGCATTTTTAAAGAAACGAGGTGCTTTCCTAAAACCTGTCTAATAGAAAAACTGTACGTCCATTTCCCACAGTGCTTTTTACTATGTCCACGTAAAAATTAGATGCTGAAGTTCATCAGAAATACGATGTTCATTGTTTCATCAAAGTCTTGAGATTATTCATCTCAACACACAAAATTGTATCAAACAAGGTCACACAATGTGTAGCGAAGATGAACACGAGGTTTCAGTTTTAGAAAACACAGCAGATTAATACTTTATGTGATGTCCAGAAATAAAGCTCTTTTCAAGGGTAGGGCTTTTTCCTTTCTTTACTGATTGTTGTATAATATCAGCTAGCTACTGAAAGGTTTTCTCTCCCTCTGTACCCATTCAAATACATATTTCTTCACCAAAAGGGTTGTCAAGCATTGGAACCGGCTGCCCAGGGAAGTGGCTGAGTCACCATCCCTGGAGGTATTTAAAAGACATGTAGACGTGGCACTTAAGATACATGGTTTAGTGGTGGACTTGGTAGCATTAGGTTTATGGTTGGACTCCGTCTTAAAGGTCTTTTCCAACCTAAATGATTCTATATCAACACTCACTCAAGAATATAAGAGTATGTGGATTATAAAAAACGCTAGGTGGATGAATGCCACCTGACTTTAATTCTTTTTTTTCTTTCCCAGCTTTCACCACTCTTTTGGACTTTAGTAGTAGGACAAACATGATGAAGTGTCACTTGTTCTAAGTGCAACATCCCTCATCCTTCAGAAGAACAGTTGCTGATTTATCATGAACTCAGCTTATCAGATATGTGAGTGCAGAGTATTTCGTCTTGCCCTCTGATGACAGATGCACCTGAAATCACTGTGACTATAAATATAAAGAGAATTCGTAACTGTTGCCGCAACCCTGCCTTTCTGCAGGGGTAAATTTTATGCAAGGATGCAACTACAGGTAGATTGCACACGCAGGTACAACGCATATCACCCAACTGGCCACGCAAACCTGCACAGAAGACACAGGCTGACTGAAAACGTGACACAGTGCCCTGTAGGGTTAGGAAAAAAAGAGATTCAACTCTGACATCTGCCAGGTTAGAAACAACTAAGAATGCCATGGTAAAAATAGTTTGTGTGAAGCAATGGACACATGCTACCTCCTCTGCAAAAAAAAAAAAAAAAAAAAAAAAAAAAGACTCTTTGGCAGAGATAATTTGTAGAAAATATACAGCCAGAAGAGAAATTCTAGTTCTGTGTATCTTAATATAGGGTCCTAGAAAGTTGTACTTAAAAAGAGTATGTTTGTTCAAGAAATTAAGGCTAGAATAAATCACTGGATCAAGCCTGCAAAATTGATTGCTGGGAGCATTACCCAGCAGTACCTCACTAAGCCAGAATTCACAAGCCTACACGCTGTAGAGTCTGCACAGACAAAACCAGCTTATCCCTCTGTTGGAAAGCAAAGCCTTCCTTTGCCTCCTGTTGGAAATGGTAAAGACACATGGTTGAGTTCATCTAAATGTTCCACTTTTCTTACAGGTTACTGCATGGGGGTCCTTTGGCAACCATTTAAAAGGAAACTACTTAGATCTTCACAGCTTTGAAGCTGTGCCTCAAAGACTCTCCTTGCTTGTGGTGCTTCCCTACGCCAACACTGGCAGCTGCTGGGACCAGTTTGTTCCATGATTTGGCATGGAAAATCCACCTCTCTCTGTAAATTAGCTCCCCACCCTGTTCTCTATATGGTACCTAGAAAAGGGGTCATTTAAAAAAAGCTGATATTTATTGTTTTGCAGGTCTTGTTATGCAACAAAACAAGTTTGTGCTGTAAGTAAATAATAAATATATAAATAAAATCATTTGAATTGCACTGGTGACACCTGCTGTGACACTAGTCTACAGGGAAAGGGTCCTCTGCTTGGGAGGGTCTACTGAGAAGAGCTCAGTCCACCTGAACAATACAAGTTACCTGCCTTTGCTCTTCCTCACCCAACTTTAGGCGAGGGTAATTGCCTTAGCTGCAAACAGGACAGAGATGGGACAGAACGGAGAGGTGAGCTGGATCAGCTCCTCAGTTGGCAGAGATGGCTCAGCTCGGGGAGCCGACAGCCTCTGGAGCCCGCTGGATCCCCGATGCACAGATGCACACGTGCAGGCACGTGCTCACACGTGGAGATGCTGGCGAGCACCTGACACTACTCTTTCCTTTCTCAGACTTTAAAGGTTTAAGGCTCTCCATGAACGACCCTTAGTGCCTGTAATTAGCAAGCGAAGATTGCTCAGAGCATCCCTATTTAATGAGCAAACGTTGAAGTGCCAAGTGTGAACCTTACACCTCACCTTTAAAAAAACAAAGGCAGAGGAGTGCTACCGAGGGCATTTAACTTCTGCTGTATTTTAATTATTTTTGGCAAGGGGAACTGTCAGTTAAGAAAATTTGCAACAGGGTCTGAAGGAAATAAAATAGTGTGCCTCCCTTGACAGTAAGAGGATTTAAAGAATCTCTAAAGGTATACATACACTTCAACAGTTTTAATTTAGTCTCTCCATTTACAAGAAATGGGAGAGATGATGCTACAGAGGTTGAAGGTGAAATTACTTTACCCAATTTCTTGAAATGACTAGTTAGGTCAAACTGCATTTACTCATCTTCTCTTTAATGCCTCGCATTTCTCCAGGCATTTCCTGTTATGTTCCTACAGTCATGCAGAACTCATTTACTTAATTGTCCTCTGTGTGTAAACCTGGAACAGTCTTCACTAGATTTCATAGAGATCAATTTGATATAATGATGCAGAAATATTTTTTCCTCAGTCCTAAAGGTGAGGTAGGTGGTTCAATTTTAATTTCTATTTCTATTCTTCACTGTTAAAAATCTCCCGTAATTATATATAAGGATCTAAGTGCTATATATTTTAATATATAAAAGGTATGCTACTATATTTATACATACCTAAAACACTTTTGAATGATTTAGCAGTAGTGTTACATAAATGTTTATGCCTGTTTAAAAACAAGGAATTGTCTAAAAAAAGAAGACTCAGAATTACCCAAATTATCCCAAAGCATTTCAGATCTCCTATTATCCTGACCATATGTTAAATATGTCCAGATAGGCACATCTGCCTTTAAGAATTTAAGGCTTGATTGAGAGATCTAATTTTCCCTATGGTCTGCTCTATGATAAAGTATTATTAACCTAAGCATATACCGTATACCTTTAAATTGTAATTGTAAAGACGACAACGATGCCTTGATCCTGAAAGAATATAGATATTAATTTTTGCAAGCTGAGTCTAGCTGCAACTTCTTCAATGAATTTTTGGAATTAGGTATTCCTGTAAGATTATTAGATTAATATTATTACAGCGATATCATTCATGAGAGATTCGGTACAACCCCCAACCTATTAGGTATAACTAGAGATAAGCCCAGTACCCAAATATCTGATTTATTATTTTAAAAGCAGAGCAGTTTTCTGTTATTCCCTTCCACCTCACCTTAATACC